TATTGAGTTCAGTCCTAAAATGTAAAAATACAACTGTTTTAAGTAGAATCTAACTGGAGGAAAAGCATATATTAAAATTTGACACATAGTTACTTCGCACGTTCAGTTTAGCGTTGTTTTGTTTTTTCTTTTTTTTTAAATCCTATTTGAAGCGTTGGTATTCAAGTTAGAAACCCCATCACTTGTAGGCTCGTTCGAACGGAAATTTCACAAGGAATCCGATGGGATTATCAAAACTTAAACCGAAAAGCTCACTTAGTAAATATTCCACGAAAACGAGTTTTAGTAACAGCATGCATCTCAACGCATCACTGCAAAAAAAATTGACAGGTAATGCGGCTAATTCATTTTCCAGAAACGTCTTTTATTCGAATAACAGCATCGCTGTAGTTTTAATGGTTAAAATTTGGTACAGGGAGCAATGTACAGGACCACAGTACAGGCAAAAGCGAACAAAACTGTCTACAGTGGAGCCGTCTTCGTACACTGTACCGTGTAAATCCTGGGCTTTCCGGTGCTACAGCAACACTGTACTCCGCGTTATGTACCCTAGGTGCAGTGGCTCAGAGCGGCATCTACAGTAACGCTGTAGATCGTTCCGTATCAGACTCTAATTTTTTGCAGTGATGCGTTAAATACAGCATGAATCTCAATGCATGCGTTAAATACATTGTGCATACCATGCATGCTGTATATAACGCATGCAATGCATGCTGTTGGGTTTTTAGAGTATCACAAGCCGCCCTCACTTGTTCGGATCTGGCCGGATCTGGCGGGAGGTGGGGCGACGCGACGCGAGGAGGCCATGGGCGGGCCGCCTGCTCCACACGGTTGATGGGCGGGTTGGCCTACCCAACCCGTTGCAGGCGCTACTGGAGTACAACAACTTGCCCTAGTGAAGGTGGCAATGTCACACGGCAATCACAGCTTACCGCGTCGCGTGCATGCATCCCTCATACCGCGTATTGCCAACTGCCCATGTGGACTACACACACGGTTCTGTCACACACTGTCGTGTATGACAACCACGTCACAAAGTTGTGTAGCCTGTTTTTTTTGGGTCGAGCGACTTTTTCGCCTACCTGCTGGACACCCAGGATTTACAGTGTATGCGTGGCTAAACTTTGTTCTGGCATAACATGGCGTCATGGCTCCGGCAATGACGAAACCAAAACACATTTCCGGCGGTAAAGCCGCCAGGCACCCAGGGTCCCGCAGGATGCGCCTCGCTCGAGCCTCGCCTTGCGTCGGGAGCGGGGCCTTATCGGATGCACCCTCAGATTCTTACTCTCGACTTTTTAGACAGTCCC